TGCCAGCTTAATAGACGTAATTATTTTGATAATCTAATAAAATTGTTTTATATATCAAGCTAAATTTTTAGATACTTTGACAAATCATTCTTTCCGTGAATGGAAAAAGATTGTCAATAAATAATACAGGAGCATAAAAGCTAAATTGCAAGTTCTACGTATATACAAGTACATATTAAAAAATTCTTATGTACATAAAAACTAATCTAAAAATGATTATATTTTATAAAAAAAATTGTGGTTAAATTGTCAAAATTTTAGTAAAGAAATAGATTGATTCTAATTTCATCACTAAAAAGATGAAGTATAGAATTGTGAAATGCTACAGAAAAGGCACAGGTTTTTACAATACCACAGAATGATACCTGTCTCGTTTTTCTCATCTCAAGAAATAACGAAACCAATGTCTGTTTCTTTTTTTATTTCTTCTCTTCACTTTCTTTTATTATTTATTATTTAGAGAATTATTATCCTCCCTCTCCTTGCACTTCGAAAAACTCAGGAAATTATTGAAACCGAGCTCTCTCCCGGGCGGCCTTTACATGCGAACTTGCATGCGAAAATTGCAGCCCGCTCGCCGGCGCAACGACGTGAATCACAAAGACTTGCGTTTGTTTCCATTGAATGGGGTATATCATTCTTCTTCTTCTTCTTCTTCTTCTTCTTCTTCTTCTTCTTCTTCTTCTTCTTCTTCTCTCTCTCTCTCTCTCTCTCTCTCTCTCTCCCGTGATTAAAACAAAGAAAATTGTGGTACCGCACGTGAAATCGTCCCGTGTCTAACTTTACTGCCGCGCTCCGTTTACTCTTCGAGATAGACTTATTTTTTCTTTCTTCTGACGGTTTTACGCATCTCTAATGGAGCCTAAGTTGCGCACTATCGGGAGATCTATGACTCCCTTGAGGCAGCTGACAGTTTCAAAAACCTTCACTGGTCGGACTAGATTCCTTTCGATTTATTACGATTCATGTACGGTTCATGAAGAGATGAGTCTATATTACACTTCACATTTTTCAAATTTTGGAAGTCATTTTCGTTTATTACTTCAATGAATATACAAGCTGCCAATATTCTAGCCGATGAGTAATTTTATTGTTGTACGAAATTTTTCGCGAATTTGCGTCGGTTACTTCCGAATCCCTAATGTCTGTGGCGCTAGTAGTATGCTTCGAGGAAAAGAGGAAGTCCAAAGCGAGACCCACAATCAGCCACATCGTCGGCCATCACACATTAATAAAATCAGGGTTCTCGGAATCGTTCGGGATTTTTCTTTACG